TGTGTGCAGGTCGTCCTTCATGCTTTAGATGCCTGTGTATGAGTGATGGTTTCGTTCCTTCATGCTCAGAGCCTGTGTATGTTGTGCAGGTCGTCCTCATGTTTAGGATGTCTTGTATGATGTGCTGAGTCGTCATTCATGCTTCAGATGCCTGTGTATGTGTGCAGTTTGTTCTTCATAGCTTCAGATGCTGGTGTAATGTGTGCTGGGTCGTCCTTCCATGACTTCATATGCCTGTGTATGATGTGCAGGTCACGTCCTTCATGCTTTAGATGCCTGTGTATGAGTGCTGGTCGTCATTCATGCTTCAGATGCCTGTGTATGTGTGCTGCTCGTCCTTTATGCTTCAGATGCTGTGTGTTTGTGCTGGTCGTCCTTCATTTCTTCGATGCTGTGTATGTGTGCTGGTCGTCTTTCATGCTCAGATGCCACCATGTGGATGTGAGTGGTCGTCCTTTCATGCTTCAGGATTGTCTGAATATTTGTACAGGTTGTCCTTCATGCTTCAGATGACTATGTATGTGTGCAGGTCGTCCTTAATGTTTCAGATGAATGTGTATGTGTGCCGGTCGTCCTTCATGCTTCAGATGCCTGTGTATGTGTGCTGGTCGTCATTCATGCTTCAGATGCCTGTGGATCGTGTGCTATGCTTAGGTCGTCCTTCATGCTTAGCTGACACTTGTTATGTGTGCAGGTCGTCCTTCATGCTTTTGATGCCTGTGTATGTTTGAAGGTCCGTCCTTCATGATTCTGATGCCCTGTGTATGTTTGCTGTCGTCTTTATGCTTAGTTGCCTCTGGTATATTTGCAGGTCGTCCTTCAGCTTCTGATGCTGTGTATGTTTGCAGGTCGTCCTCATGCTTCTTATGCTGTGTATGTTTGCTTGGTCGTCCTTTTTATGCTTAGATGCCTTGGATATTTAGCAGGTCGTCCTTCATGCTTCTGATGCCTGTGTATGTTTGCAGGTCGTCCTTCATGCTTCTGATGCCTGTGTATGTTTGCTGGTCGTCCTTTATGCTTTAGATGCCTCTGTATATTTGCAGGTCGTCCTTCATGCTTCAAATGCCTGTGTATGTGTGCTGGTCGTCCTTCATTCTTCATATGCCTGTTTGTAGGTGTGCTGGTCGTCACTTCATTCTTTCAAATGCCTGTGTAAAGGTGAGCTGGTTGTCCTTCATTCTTCAAATGCCTGTGTAGGTGTGCTGGTCGTCCTTCATTCTTCAATGCCTGTGTAGGTGTGCTGGTCGTCCTTCATTCTTCAAATGCCTGTGTAGGTGTGCTGGTCGTCCTTCATTCTTCAAATGCCTGTGTAGGTGTGCTGCGTCGTCCTTCATTCTTCAAATGCCTGTGTAGGTGGTGCTGCGTCTGTCCTTCATTCTTCTAAATGCCTGTGTAGGGTGCTGGTCGTCCTTCATTCTCAAATGCCTGTGTAGGTGTGCTGGTTCGTCTTCATTCTTCAAATGGCCTGTGGGGTTTTAAGGTGTTGCGGTCGTCCTTCATTCTTCAAAATGCCTGTGTAGGGTGTGGCCTGGTCGTCCTTCATTCTTCAAATGCTGTGTATGTGTGCAGGTCGTCCTTTCATTCTTCAAAAGCCTGTGTAGGTGTGCTGGTCTTCCTTCATTCTTCAAATGCCTGATGTATGTGTGCTGTCGTCCTTCATTCTTCAACTGCCTGAGTAGGTGTTGCTGGTCGTCCTTCATTCTTCAAATGCCTCGTGTAGGTGTTTCTGGTCGTCCTTCAATCTTCAAATGCCTGTGTTAGGTGTGCTGGTCGTCCTTCATTCCTTTCAAATGCCTGTGTTGTGTGTGGTCGCCTTCATTCTTCAAATGCCTGTGTAGGTGTGATGGTCGTCCTTCATCTTCAAATGCCTGTGTATGTGTGTGGTCGTCATTCATTCTTCATTCATGCCTGTGTATGTGTGATGGTCGGTCCTTCATTTCTTCAAATGCCTGTGTAGGTGTGTGGTCGTCCTTCTTCTCAAATGCCTGTGCTAGGTGTGTGGTCGTCCTTCATTCTTCAAATGCCGTGTAGGTTGTGTGGTTCGTCCTTCATTCTTCAAATGCCTTTGTAGTAGGTGTGCTGGTCGTCTTCATTCTTAAAAGTGCTGTGTATGTGTGCTGGTCGTCCTTCATTCTTCCAAATCTGCCTGTGTATTGTGTGATGGTTTCGACCTTACATTCTTCCAAAATGCCTGTGTAGGTGGTGCTGGTCGTCTTCATGCTTCATATGCCGTGTAGGTGTCGCTGGTCGTCCTTCATTCTTTCAACTGCCTGTGTAGGTGTGCTGGTGTCCTTCAATTCTTCAAATGCTGTGTATGGTGTGCTGGTCGTCCTTCATGCTTCAGATGCCTGTGTAGGTGTGTGGTCGTCCTTCTTCTTCAAATGCCTGTGTAGGTGTGCTGGTCGTCCTTCATTCTTCAAATGCCTGTGTAGGTTGGTGCTGGTCGTCCTTCATTCTTCAAATGCCTGTGTAGGTGTGGCTGGTCGTCCTTCATTCTTCAATGCCTGGTAGGTGTGCTGTGTCCTTCATTCTTCAAATGCCTGTGAGTGTGCTGGTCGTCCTTATTCTTCAAATGCCTGTTTATGTGGTGCCGGTCGTCTTCAATGCTTCAGATGCCTGTGTAGGGTTGCTGGTCGTCGTCATTCCTTCAAATGCTGTGTAGGTGTGCTGAGTTCGTCTTCATTCTTCAAATGCCTGTGTAGGTGTGCGGTTCGTCCTTCATTCTTCCAAATGCCTAGTGTATGGTTGCCGGTCGTCCTTCAGCTTCAGATTGCCTGGTATGTGGTGCCGGTCGTACCTTCATGCTTCCAGTGCCTGTGTAGGTGTGGTGGTAGTCCTTCATTTCTTCAAATGCCTGTGTAGGTGTTTGCTGGTCGTCTTCATTCTTCAAATGCCTGTGTAGGTGTGCTGGTCGTCCTTCATTCTTCAAATGCCTGTGTATGTGTGCCGGTCGTCCTTCATGCTTCAGATGCCTGTGTAGGTGTGCTGGTCGTCCTTCATTCTTCAAATGCCTGTGTAGGTGTGCTGGTCGTCCTTCATTTCTTTCAAAAATTGCATGTGTAGGTGTGCTGGTTCGTCCTTCATTCTTCAAATGCCTGTGTATGTGTGCCGGTCTCGTCCTTCATGCTTCAGATGCCTGTGTAGGTGATGGCTGGTCGTCCTTCATTCTTCAAATGCCTGTTGTAGGTGTGTGGGTCGTCCTTCATTCTTCAAAAAATGCCTGTGTATGTGTGCGGTCGTCTCCTTCATGCTTCAGATTTGGCCTGTGTAGGTGTGCTGGTCGTCTTCATTCTTCAAATGACTGTGTATGTGTGCCGGTCGTTCCTTCTGCTTCAGATGCCTGTGTATGTGTGCCGGTCGTCCTTCATGCTTCAGATGCTGTGTAGTGTGTGGTCGTCCTTCATGCTTCAGATGCCTGTGTAAGTTTGCTGGTCGTCTTCATGCTCAGGATTCTGTGTAGTGTGCTGGTCGTCCTTCATGCTTCAGATGCCTGTGTATGTGTGCTGGTCGTCCTTCATGCTTCAGATGCCTGTGTAGGTGTGCTGGTCGTCCTTCATGCTTCAGATGCCTGTGTATGTGTGCTGGTCGTCCTTCATGCTTCAGATGCCTGTGTAGGTGTGCTGGTCGTCCTTCATGCTTCAGATGCCTGTTGTATGTGTGCGGTCAGTCTCAAGCTTCAGATGCCTGTGTATGTGTGTGGGTCGTAATGCATGCTTCAGATGCCTGTGTATGTGTGCTGGTCGTCCTTCATGCTTCAGATGCCTGTGTAGGTGTGCTGGTCGTCCTTCATGCTTCAGATGCCTGTGTATGTGTGCTGGTCGTCATCATGCTTCAGGATGGCCTGTGTATGTGTGCGGTCGTCCTTCATGCTTCAGATGCCTGTGTATGTGTGCTGGTCGTCCTTCATGCTTCAGATGCCTGTGTAGGTGTGCTGGTCGTCATTCATGCTTCAGAATTTTAAAAAGACTTCGCTATTATTTTAGGAAAATTTGTTTTCCGATTCAAATAAACAGTTTATTAATGCAAATATTTTTATTCTTATTACACAAAGTATGAATGCATAAAATAACACTGGTGGTTAATACAGTAATGTATAAAATACACTGGTGGTTAATACAATAATGTATAAAATAACACTGGTGGTTAATACAATAATAAAACTGGTGGTTAATACAATAATACAATAATGCAATAATACATTCTGCTTGTGTAATTTTTGTCAACTTAAATTATTCACTTATAGTTAAGTATAACTGTAATATAGCACTATAATATCTCGGGTAATATATCCAGCTACTATTACCATAAATACAATTATAGATGAGCAGAAATTTCTAAGGATAATATCATTTGGTGAGGTACATAATAAACCTTGTATAGAACATTACTAGAACCCATGGGTTCTAAGGTCTACTACATGTAGATAAACTCTTATTGGCTGCCATTTTTGCAGCTTCAATTGTTTGTTCATGGACTTGGTTAGACTGTTATCTTCTGTTCCTCCTCCTCTGTTTGGACTGTCTTTTTTGCCTCCCCTTTGTATTATTTCTTTTTGGCATCTGAGGAGTTTTTAATAAAGTTCCTTCAAGTTCATCTTCGTTATGGCTGAATCGACGAACTGGTGTACACAGTTTGATGTACTTGGCTGGTGGTTTGTAGAGAGAACGTTTCAGGAGAGGCGCCTATTTCCTGTGATCCATGGAGGTGCTGCTCGATGGTAGTGTTTAGCCCACTGGACATTTTGATGGAGAGTTAATGTCATCCTGAATAGAGCTGCTGCTACTATTGGAAGCTGCTGCTGCTACTGTTGGAAGCTACTGCTGCTACTGCTGGAAGCTGCTGCTGCTACTGCTGTGAAGCTGCTGCTGCTACTGCTGGAAGCTGCTGCTGCTACTGCTGGAAGCTGACCTGCTCTGCTGCCACTGCTGGAAGCTGCTGCTGCTACTGCGGGAAGCTACTTGCGCTACTACTGGAAAGCTTGCTGCTGCATACTATGGAAGCTGCTGCTGCTACTGCTGGAAGCTGCTGCTGCTACTGCTGGAAGCTGCTGCTGCTACTGCTGGAAGCTGCTGCTGCTACTGCTGGAAGCTACTGCTGCTACTGCTGGAAGCTACTGCTGCTACTGCTGGAAGCTGCTGCTGCTACTACTGGAAGCTGCTGCTGCTACTGCTGGAAGCTACTGCTGCTACTGCTGGAAGCTGCTGCTGCTACTGCTGTAAGCTGCTGCTGCTACTACTGGAAGCTGCTGCTGCTACTACTGGAAGCTGCTGCTGCTACTGCTGGAAGCTGCTGCTGCCACTTCATCCTCAATAGAATTAACTAGAATGATCAAGTTGAGGACGTCCCGAAGTGTGAGAGTTACTTCATTAGGATTACTCTCCATTATAGTCTGTGACTCAGCTGTTTCGTCTAAATTACCAGCTTCTACATTCAAGATACCAGACAAGGTTTTCGAGAACTCATGCTCTTTTGGAGACTGGGCGATGAAGTTCCTAATAGACGGGACAGTCTCCGATCTGAGAATTACGTTGACGTGCAAGAGCTGGGATAAAGTGAAGGGGGGCATTAACTTATTCTGGGAATCATTCGTCCCTGCCAAAAAAAAAAAAAAGATAAATAACATACTGTCAAGATATTATTAGCGGCAATTTTATGTCCGTTGTATTTTTTTTAAATTTTCAGCATAATAATATTCCTAACATTAAAATATGGTAGTTTATGTATATTCTATTTCCACGAGGCTGTGTCCCGCAATTTGCACTATAGGTTGACCTCATCTATGTATATGTCGTGTCAAATAGGTGAAACTTACGATTTTGGCCTAAATAGCAATGCTCTTCTTGCCGAATAAGGCAAACGAGAAATTTGTGTATGCAATAATTTCTCAAAAATCATTCTGAACATAGGGAAAAATATATTGCATTGTGTTTGTTTATTATTAAATTACTGTAAAATTATCTAAAATATATTTAGTTGGATGAAGCTAAATTAAACTGAACTTGTTATAATAAGGTTAGGTAAGTTTTCTAAGATTCTTATGGTACAGATTTATTAATTTTTACAATAACATGTATTTCAACGCATAAGAGAAATTTTTTGAAAAGACTTAATTTTTAATGAGTTCTTGGTAATTGACCAGTTTTACCCATTCGGCAGATACATGTACTAGACATGTAATCTCTCACACCTCATGTAATGTATAGCCATATATATAAACTAGGGATCCCAGGAGCTAGTTTTCTGTTCTCAGCGCTCAGTGCAGCTGTTCAAAGGGGTAATGCCTGCTGTATTTTGGGCACATGCCCCAGCTCTGAGGAGCTGGATGAGATTTTCGCCTTATAAATCGGTGATACACACGTAACAACATGTACCGTATATGCCACCCACCTATTTATATCAACTATGTATCTCTTAAATCTCCTATATATAATATATATATATATATATATATATATTATATTATATATATATATATATATATATATATATATTATATATATATATATATATATATATTATAATATATATATGTGTGTGTGTGTGTGTGTGTTGTGAGTGTGTGTGTGTGTGTGTGTGTATGTGTACTCACCTAGTTGTACTCACCTAGTTGAGTTTGCAGGGGTCGAGTCCTAGCTCCTGGCCTCGCCTCTTCACTGGTCGCTACTAGGTCGCTCTCCCTGTACCGTGAGCTTTATCGTACCTCTGCTGTGTGTGTGTGTGTGTGTGTGTGTGTGTATGTATGTGTGTGTGTGTAATAAGATCAAAGTAACAGGTGATATCACAATATGAAAAGTAACCACTGTAACAAAAATAATGAAATTCCAAGCACTTTCATGATTTCTTACTAGTAGGCGAGGAGACGAAAAGTAGAGGTAGGAAGAGGTAAGGAGGTGGGGTTTTCAGAGGGTAAAACCTCAAAAGAATTAGAAAAGGGGGTGACCCTGGAAGGCACGGCTCCGGAAGAGCTGGTAGACGGGGGCCACTGCCAAGGTTGGAGGTCTCCTAGCTACTCAAGTATAAGGAACATGGAGATGATTCCCTGAAGGTGGAGCCGTGAGACAGCCATAGCAAGATTAAGGACTTCGCTATTCTAAAGACAATGGATTTCACGTTCATTAAGATTATTACAACCCAGGAGTCCAAATGGCCTGTTATCCTGGGTGTAAAGGGAGCAAAATAAACACAGCAGAAAATTTTTGACTTACATTATCCTTCACCAATTTAGAACAGCAGTATGTGCACTATATACACTATGTGCACTCCACGGTAAGCAAGGCAGAGTAGAAGCCACTAGAGAGCAGACCGTGCTTCAACCAGCTCTAGAATGGGAATGACAAGGGCAGACAGGAGAGTGGTACCCAGATAACCTCTGCGATTGCCAAAACCATCTTCTTATTGGCTGGAACCTAGGTACAAAAGACTTGGCAGACGATTGCAACATCCCTGCAATGAAAAGCAGGGGTTGTCACTAGCACGTTAGAGACCATACAATAAGTGTCAGGGGCCCGAGACTGTTCAACTGCCTCCCAGCATACATAAGGGGGATTACCAACAGACCCCTGGCAGTCTTCAAGATGGCACTGGACACAGCACTAAAGTTCGGTTTTCCTGACAGCGGGCTGAGGCTCGTACGTTTTGGGTTTGCCGTGCAGCCAGCAGCAACAGCCTGGTTGATCAGGCTCTTATCCACCAGGAGGCCTGGTCACAGACCGGGCCCGCGGGGGCGTTGACCCCCGGAACTCTTCCAGGGTCAAAACTCCAGGTACAGTTTGAACGAGGGGTCCATCGTCAACTCTCAGTCACCTGGATTCGCTGTTGGGGGAGATAGCCTGTGAATGAGGGTGTGTACTTGCGCCGAATAAAGGTTACGTACTCTTTGCATGCCACAAAGATAGATCTGACGACAGAGGGAAAAAGAAAGGTGTAGTTTCGTTGCAATTAAAACAAGTGGGGCGGAACAAAAAGACTGCTAATTGCTATAAAATATCATTACACAAGAAGAAAATCCTTATACAATGGGTTTTTTTTTAAAACGGGGTAAGACAACTGTACCAGTGCAATAACTGAAGTAGCGTGCTTTGAAAATGCGATAGTAAACATTCTCATTGGAAGATGGGAAAGACCATGAGCTTGGAGCTTTTGAACAGTAACGATGCATGCACCGCTCTGAGAGTTGTCGTTATGAAAGGATATATTTTGGCCAAAGTGTTGTTAAAGAACTTTTCCAGTACTGTGCTCTGAAAGATAATCAGTGAAATGTCGGCTGCAGGGAAAAGAACTTGGTCCTCTGTGTACTTGTAAATATGGTGTGTAAAGGAAGTGGGTGTCATGTATGTTGTTTCTGAGTGGAATGAGCAGAAATCGAAGGACCGTTTTCAGTAAATGGTCTGGAACGTTCAGGCGGAGGACCGCGGGCGGCCCGACCTAAGGCAGGTGGGTGATCCGAAAACCGTCACACTATATTTGGGGAAGCCGAAAGCAAGAGGCAGAGGCACTAAAAAAACGGACAGAGCCTTGGCACCTGGAGCAGGTGATGAAGCGTCACCAGTAGAATGTAAAGGAGTATCGGAGAAGTCTGGTAAGTAGTCCAGTAACAAAGCTGGGTCAGAACAGGATGCAATAACATAAAGGGCCTGGGTGGAGGAGAGGTCCTCATGGAACCAAGACTCCATGATGGTGGTACTTCTTTCTTATAATTAAGGAAAAAAAAGAAAGAAGGAAAGAAAGGAAAAGGAAGGGTAACAGCGGAGGGACAGTTACTAGAAGGCATGAAAGGGCCATAAGTTCCCCCCTCTCATCCGAGAGGACCTCGATACCACCAGCAGTGCAGAAGCAACATGGAACCCCTGCCATACCCTACCCTTCACGCAAGTAATGCAGTGTTCCATGAGAGCAACCTCATATCCACCGAGCCACCTCGGCTGCCACCTCCCAGAACCGACAGGCAGTCTTGGAGATATACCTGTCACCTGCAGGACACCCTGCCCCATCTCCTGGAAATCCGGGAAGGAAACAGGGCACCTACCGACAATCCAGATTTCACAGCAAACTTCACCATTCCCGAGGAACTCCACGGAGCGGGGTGGCCCCTGGCACACTTTCCCTTGCCTAGAAACCGTAATGCCAGAGGGGAAGACCCACAGAGTGGGAAAAAAGGGAGGGTTGGGAGGGGAGGAGTAAAGGGAAAAGGGGGGATGGAGAGGATGGGATAGGGAAGTGGGGATTAGGGGGTAATTAGGTTCGGTCTGAGAAAGGAGACCAGAAGGTCAGATTCCTCAGACAAAGAGCCTCTTCACCGCGCCAAGGAGCCCCTTGAAGAGGAGAGAGAGATTACAGTAAACAATCAGTATATATGTACTGAGAGATATATACCTCTCAGTATATATACTTTGTGTGAGGTATAGTACACAGAAGCAATATTTTTACCACCCCCCAAAAAAAAAAAACTTATAAATTAAGCAATCATCTAATATTAAAACCGCACTTTTATAAGACTAGGTATTGAAATATTTATCTGCCTTATGTATTTACATTTAACTTTGCACAAAAAACTACAATAGGTGCTAAGAGTGTGCAATGTAGTTGAGTGTTCAAATTAAGAGGTACGATAAGTGTACCTTCAAAGAGGTGCCATGATGCCAGTGAAGCGCTCTTGATGCAAGGAAGTGGAGCTACTCTCCCTTTCCTTGGATCAAACATCATTACCTAACCTTCTTAGATTTGCTGTGTGATCCCTACGGGTTTAGCTCTTTCCATGAATATACAACTAATAATTGAAAGGTTGTAACCTCCTCCAGTGTTGGGCACGAGGCTGGGCTTGCGAGACTTGGGACGTGAGGATCTCCTCTTGTCTAAACTATTAATCACCTCCACCATGAGTGCCGCCATACCAGTGTCAGTACCTGGTTCTGTTCTCTGGTTGTCCTGTCCACTCTCTCTCTGTTACCACCTGTTAATTAGTCACACAATTAATATATATATTTCATTTAAAATAATGTTACCTGAAATTCAATCTTTCCCCAGGTTTAACATTGTTAAGGAAATCTTTGATACGTCATTTATGTCAGCTCAGGTAAAGTTGTGTTGGATAGCTAGATTAATTGTGTTTGATGGCAGGTTAGTTGAGTTTGATGGCTACATTAGTTGTGTTTGATGGTAGGTTAGTTGAGTTTCATGGCTAGATTAGTTGTGTTTGATGGCTAGATTAATTTTGTTTGATAGCTAGATTAATCGTGTTTGATGGTAGGTTAGTTGAGCTTGATGGCTAGATTAGTTGTGTTTGATGGCTAGATTAGTTGTGTTTGATGGTAGCTTAGTTGAGTTGATGGCTAGATTAGTTGCGTTTGATGGCTAGATTAGTTGTGTTTGATGGTAGGTTAGTTGAGTTTGATGGCTAGATTAGTTGTGTTTGATGGCTAGATTAGTTGTGTTTGATGGTAGGTTAGTTGAGTTTGATGAAATCAGATAATGTGTTTGATGGTAGTTAGTGAGTTTGAGGCCTAGCATTGTTGTGTTTGATGGTAGATTTAGTGAGTTTGATGGCTAGATTAGTTGTGCTGATGGTTAGGTAGTTAGTTATGTTGAGTTTGATGGGCTAGATTTAGTTGTGTTGATGGCTAGATTAGTTGATGTTTGATGGTAGAGTTAGTTGAGTTTTGATGAGGATAGATTTAATTGTGTTTGATGGTAGGTTAGTTGAGTTTGATGGCTGATTAATTGTGTTTGATGGCTAGAGTGAGGTGAGTTTGATGGTAGCTTAGTTGAGTTTTGATGGCTAGGATTAGTTGTGTTTGATGGCTAGATTAGTTGTGTTTGATGGTAGGTTAGTTGAGTTTGATGGCTAGATTAGTTGCGTTTGATGGCTAGATTAGTTGTGTTTGATGGTAGGTTAGTTGAGTTTGATGGCTAGATTAGTTGTGTTTGATGGCTAGATTAGCTGGTGTTTGTAGGCTAGATTATTAGTTGTGTTGTGGAAGGTTAGTTCAGTTTGATGGCTAGATTAGTTGTGTTTGATGACTAGATTAGTTGAGTTTAATGGCTAGATTAGTTAAGTTTGATGGCTAGATTAGTTCAGTTTGATGGCTAGATTAGTTGAGTTTCATGGCTAGATTAGTTGTGTTTGATGGTAGGTTAGTTGAGTTTGATGGCTAGATTAGTTGTGTTTGATGGCTAGATTAGTTGTGTTTGATGGTAGGTTAGTTGAGTTTGATGGCTAGATTAGTTGTGTGTGATGGCTAGATTAGTTGAGTTTGATGGCTAGATTAGTTGTGTTTGATGGCTAGATTAGTTGTGTTTGATGTTAGATTAGGTGGTTTGTTGGTATATTAGTTGAGTTTGATAGCTAGATTAGATGAGTTTGATGGCTAGATTAGTTGTGTTTGATGGCTAGATTAGTTGAGTTTGATGGCTAGATTAGTTGTGTTTGATGGCTAGATTAGTTGTGTTTGGATGTCGTCCTTTCAGTTCACATGCCTGTGTGTGTGTGCAATATTCGTCCTTCATGCTTCAGATCACTGTGTATGAGTGCTGGTGGTGTTTCATGCAATAACATGTCAGCGATATGTGAGGTCGTCCTTCATGAGCCTTCAGATGCCTGTTATGTGGTGCTGGTCGTCTTTTATTTCAGATGCCTATGTTTTATGAGTGCAGTTCGTCTTTCATGCTTCAGATGCCTGTGTATGTGCAGGTCGTCCTTCATGCTTCACATGCCTGTGTATGTGTGCTGGTTGTCATGCATTACTTTTAAATCCTGAGTATCCAGTGGTCGTCCTTCATGCATCAGATGCCTCTGTATGCGTGCAGGTCGTCCTTCATGCTTCAATTGCCTTTGTATGTGTGCTGGTCGTCCTTCATGCTTCAGATGCCTCTGTATATGTGCTGGTCGTCCTTCATGCTTCAGATGCCTGTGTACGTGTGCTCGTCGTCCTTCATGCTTCCGATGCCTGTGTATATGGGCTGGTCGTCGTTCATGCTTCAGATGCCTCTGTATATGTGTTGGTCGTCATTAATGTTTCAGATGTCTATGTATGAGTGCTGGTCGTCCTTCACGCTTCAGATGCCTGTGTATGTGTGCATGTCGCCCTTTATCCTTCAGATGCTTGTGTATATGTGCAGGTCGCCCTTCATGCTTCAGATCACTGTGTATGAGTGCTGGTCGCTACTTTATGCCTTAGATGTCTCTGTATGTGTGCAGGTTGTACTTTATGTTTCAGATGCCTGTGCATGTGTCCTGCTCGTTCTTTATGTTTCAGATGCCTCTGCATGTGTGCAGGTCGTCCTTGATGCTTCAGAATGTGTGCTGGTCGCCCTTCATATATCAGATGCCTGTGTATGAGTGCAGGTTGTATTTCATGCTTCAGATGCCTGTGTATGTATGCTGGTCGTCATTCATGTTTCAGATGCCTGTGTATCCGTGCACGTCGTCCTTCATGCTTCAGATGCCTGTGTATGTGTGCACATCCTCATTCATGTTTCAGATGGATGTGCATGTGTGCTGGTCGTACTTAGTGCTTCAGATGCCTGTGTATGTATGCAGGTCGTCCTTCAAGCTTCAGATGCCTGTGTATGTGTCCAGGTTGTCCTTAATGCTTCAGGTGCCTGTGTATATGTGCTGGTCGTCGTTCATGCTTCAGATGCCTGTGTATGTGTGCTGGACGTCATTCATGCTTCAGATTCCACCGTGTATGTGCTGGTCGTCCGTCATGCTTAAGATGCCTGTGTATGTGTGCTGGTCGTACCTCATGTTTCAGATGCCTGCGTACGTGTGCTGGTCGTCCTTAATGCTTCAGATGCCTTTGTATGTGTGCTGGTCGTCCTTCATGCTTCAGATTCCTGTGTATGTTTGCTGGTCGTCCTTCATGCTTCAGATGCTTGTGTATATGTGCAGGACGCCCTTCATGCTTCAGATGCCTGTGTATGTGTGCTGGTCGTCCATCATGCTTCATAAGCCTGTGTATTTCTACAGGTCGTCCTTCATGCTTCAGATGCCTGTAAATGTTTCCAGGTCGTCCTTAATGCTTCAGATGCCTGTGTATGTATGCAGGTTGTCTTTCACGCTTCAGATGCCTGTGTATATGTGCAGGTCGTCCTTCATGCTTCATATGCCTGTGTGTGTGCAGGCCGTCCTTCATGCATCTGATGCCTGTGTATGTGTGCTGGTCGTACTTCATGCTTCAGATACCTGTGTGAGTGCTGGTCGTACCTCAAGCTTCGATGCCTGTGATGGGTGCTGGTCGGTCCTTCATATACAGATGCCTGGGTATGTGTTTGCAGGTCTCCTTCATGCTTCAGATGCCTGTGCATATGTGCAAGTCGTCCTTCATGCTTCAGATGCCTGTGTACGTGTGTGTGGTCGTCCTTCACATGCATCGGATGCCTCTGTGTTTGTGCAGGTTTTCCTTCATTCTTCAGATGCCTGTGTATGTGTGCTGGTCGTCCTTCATGTTTCAGATGCCTGTGTATGTGTGCTGGTCGTCCTTCATGTTTCAGATGCCTGTGTATGTGTGCTGGTCGTTCCTTCATGATTTCAGATGCCTGTGTATGTGTGCTGGTCGTCCTTCATGTTTCAGATGCCTACGTTTATGTGCTGGTCGTCCTTCACGCTTCAGATGCCAATGTATATGTGATGGTCGTCCTTCATGCTTCAGATGCATGTCTATGTGTGCTGGTCGTCCTTCATGCTTCAGATGCCTCTGTATATTTGCTGGTCGTCCTTCATGCATCAAATGCCTGCGTATGTGTGCTGGTCTTCCTTCATGCTTCAGATGTCTGTGTATTTGTATATGTCGTACTTCATGCTTCAGATGACTGTGAATGTGCGCAGGTTGTCCTTCACGCTTCAGATGCCTATGAATGTGTGCAGGTCGTCCTTCATGTTTCAGATGAATGTGTATATGTGCTGGTCGTCCTTCATGCTTTAAATGCCTGTGTATGTGTCCAGGTTGTCCTTAATGCTCCAGGTGCCTGTGTATGTGTGCAGGTCGTCCATCATGCTTCAGATGCCTGTGTATGTGTCCAGGTTGTCCTTAATGCTCCAGGTGCCTGTGTATGTGTGCAGGTCGTCCATCATGCTTCAGATACCTGTGTATGTGTCCAGGTTGTCCTTCATGCTTCAAATGCCTGTTTATGTGTGCTGGTCGTCCTTCATGCTTCAGATGCCTCTGTATGTGTGCTGGTCGTCCTTCAAACATCAGATACCTGTGTATGTGTCCTGGTCGTCCTTCAAGATTCAGATGATTCTGTATGTGTGCAGGTCGTCTCTCATGGCTCGATGCCCGTGTATGTGTGCTGGTCGTCGTTCAATGCATTAATGCACTGTATTTGAGCAGGTCGTCCATCATGCTTCAAGATGCGTTGTTAAGTGTGCAGGTAGTCCTCACGCTTCAGATGCCTATGTATTTGTGTAGGTCGTCATTCATGTTTCAGATGAATGTGTATATATGCTGGTCGTCCTTTATGCTTTAGATTCCTGTGTATGAGTGCTGCTCGTCCTTCATGCTTCAGATGCCTCTGCATGTGTACAGGTCGTCCTTCATGATTCAGATGCCTGTGTATATGTCCAGGTCGTCCTTCATGCTTCAGGTGCCTGTGTATGTGTGCTGGTCGTCCTTCATGCTTCAGATACCTGTGTATTGGTGCTGATCGTCCTTCATGCTTTTGATGCGTCTGTATGTGTGTTGGTCGTCATTCATGTTTCAGATGATCGTGTATGTGTGCAAGTCGTCCTTAATGCTTCAGATGCCTGTGTTTGTGTGTTGGTCGTCACTCCACATGCTTCAAAATCCGTGTGATTTTTGCAGGTCGTCCTTCATGCTTCAGATGCCTGTGTATGTGTGCAGGTCGTCCTTCATGCTTCAGATGTCTGTGTGTGTGTGCTGGTCGTCGTTCATGCTTCAAATTCCTGTGAATTTTTGCAGGTCGTCCTTCATGATTCGATGCCTGCCTGTGCATATGTGAAGGTCGTCCTTTATGTTTCTTCAAATGCATGTGCATGTCCTGCTGTCGAACTTAGTGCCTTCAGATGCCCTGTGTATGTGTGTGGTCATCTCATGTTTCAGATGCCTCTGTGTATGTGCTAGTCGTCCTGCATGCTTCAGACGACTGTGTATGTGTGCTGGTCGTACTTAATGCTTCAGATACCTGTGTATGTGTGCTGGTCGTCCTTCATGCTTCAGATGCTTGTGTATGTGTGCAGGTCGCCCTTCATGCTTCAGATGCTTGTGTATGTGTGCAGGTCGTCCTTCATGCTTCAGATGCCTGTGTATGTGTGTTGGTCGTCCATCAAGTTTCACATGCCTATGTATTTCTACAGGTCGTCCTTCATGCTTCAGATGCCTGTGAATGTTTGCAGGTCGTCCTTCATGCTTCAGATGCCTGTGAATGTTTGCAGGTCGTCCTTCATGCTTTAGATGCCTGTGAATGTTTGCAGGTCGTCCTTCATGCTTTAGATGCCTGTGAATGTGTGCATATAGTCCTTCGTCCTTGAGATGCTTGTGTATGTGTTCAGGTCGTCCTTCATGCTTCAGATCACTGTGCATGAGTGCTGGTCGTCCTTCTTGTTTCAGATGTCTGTGTATGTGTGCAGGTCGTCCTTCATATTTCAGATGCCTGTGTATGAGTGAAGGTTCTCCTTCATGCTTAACATTCCTGTGTTTGTGCAGTCCGTCCTACATGCATCGGATGCCAGTGTATGTATGCTGATCGTGCTTTATGCTTTTGATGCCTGTGTATGTGTGACGTTCGTCATTCATGCTTCAGATGCCTGTGTACGTTAGCATTTCGTCCTTCATGCTTCAGATGCATGTTTATGTGTGCAGGTCGTCTTTCATGCTTCAGAGGCTTGTGTATGTGTGCAGGTCGCACTTCATTCTTCAGATGCCTGTCTATGTGTGCTTGTCGTCTTTCATGCTTCACATGCCAGTGTATTTTTACAGGTCGTCCTTCATGCTTCAGATGCCTGTGTATGTGTGCTGGTCGTCCTTCAGATTTAGATGCCTCTGTATGTGTGCTAGTCGTCCTTCATGCTTCAGATGCCTCTGTATGTGTGCGGGTCGTCCTTCATGCTTCAGATGCTTGTGTATGTGTGCTGGTCGTCCTTCATGCGTCAGAGGCTTTTGTATCCGTGCAGGTCGTCCTTCATGCTTCAGATGCATGTGCATGTGTGCAGGTCGACCTTCATGCTTCAGATGCCTGTGTATGTGTGCTGGTCGTCCTTCATGCTTCAGATGCCTGTGTATGTGTGCAGGTCGTCCTTCATGCTTTAGATGCCTGTGTATGAGTGATGGTTTCGTTCCTTCATGCTCAGAGCCTGTGTATGTTGTGCAGGTCGTCCTCATGTTTAGGATGTCTTGTATGATGTGCTGAGTCGTCATTCATGCTTCAGATGCCTGTGTATGTGTGCAGTTTGTTCTTCATAGCTTCAGATGCTGGTGTAATGTGTGCTGGGTCGTCCTTCCATGACTTCATATGCCTGTGTATGATGTGCAGGTCACGTCCTTCATGCTTTAGATGCCTGTGTATGAGTGCTGGTCGTCATTCATGCTCAGATGCTGTGTATGGTGTGTGCTCGTCCTTTATGCTTTCAGATGCTGTGTGTTTGTGCTGGTCGTCCTTCATTTCTTCGATGCTGTGTATGTGTGCTGGTCGTCTTTCATGCTCAGATGCCACCATGTGGATGTGAGTGGTCGTCCTTTCATGCTTCAGGATTGTCTGAATATTTGTACAGGTTGTCATTCATGCTTCAGAGACTTGTATGGTGCAGGTCTCCTTAATGTTTCAGATGAATGTGTATGTGTCCGGTCGTCCTCATGCTTCAGATGGCCTGTGTATGTGTGCTGGTCGTCATTCATGCTTCAGATGCCTGTGGATCGTGTGCTATGCTTAGGTCGTCCTTCATGCTTAGCTGACACTTGTTATGTGTGCAGGTCGTCCTTCATGCTTTTGATGCCTGTGTATGTTTGAAGGTCCGTCCTTCATGATTCTGATGCCCTGTGTATGTTTGCTGTCGTCTTTATGCTTAGTTGCCTCTGGTATATTTGCAGGTCGTCCTTCAGCTTCTGATGCTGTGTATGTTTGCAGGTCGTCCTCATGCTTCTTATGCTGTGTATGTTTGCTTGGTCGTCCTTTTTATGCTTAGATGCCTTGGATATTTAGCAGGTCGTCCTTCATGCTTCTGATGCCTGTGTATGTTTGCAGGTCGTCCTTCATGCTCTGATGACTGGGTATGTTTGCTGGTCGTCCTTTATGCTTTAGATGCCTCTGTATATTTGCGGTCGTCCTTCATTGCTTCCAAATGCCTGTGTATGTGTGCTGGTCGTCCTTCATTCTTCATATGCCTGTTTGTAGGTGTGCTGGTCGTCACTTCATTCTTTCAAATGCCTGTGTAAAGGTGAGCTGGTTGTCCTTCATTCTTCAAATGCCTGTGTAAGGTGTGCTGGTCGTCCTTCATTCTTCAATGCCTGTGTAGGTGTGCTGGTCGTCCTTCATTCTTCAAATGCCTGTGTAGGGTGCTGGTCGTCTTCATTCTTCAAATGCCTGTGTAGGTGTGCTGCGTCGTCCTTCATTCTTCAAATGCCTGTGTAGGTGGTGCTGCGTCTGTCCTTCATTCTTCTAAATGCCTGTGTAGGGTGCTGGTCGTCCTTCATTCTCAAATGCCTGTGTAGGTGTGCTGGTTCGTCTTCATTCTTCAAATGGCCTGTGGGGTTTTAAGGTGTTGCGGTCGTCCTTCATTCTTCAAAATGCCTGTGTAGGGTGTGGCCTGGTCGTCCTTCATTCTTCAAATGCTGTGTATGTGTGCAGGTCGTCCTTTCATTCTTCAAAAGCCTGTGTAGGTGTGCTGGTCTTCCTTCATTCTTCAAATGCCTGATGTATGTGTGCTGTCGTCCTTCATTCTTCAACTGCCTGAGTAGGTGTTGCTGGTCGTCCTTCATTCTTCAAATGCCTCGTGTAGGTGTTTCTGGTCGTCCTTCAATCTTCAAATGCCTGTGTTAGGTGTGCTGGTCGTCCTTCATTCCTTTCAAATGCCTGTGTTGTGTGTGGTCGCCTTCATTCTTCAAATGCCTGTGTAGGTGTGATGGTCGTCCTTCATCTTCAAATGCCTGTGTATGTGTGTGGTCGTCATTCATTCTTCATTCATGCCTGTGTATGTGTGATGGTCGGTCCTTCATTTCTTCAAATGCCTGTGTAGGTGTGTGGTCGTCCTTCTTCTCAAATGCCTGTGCTAGGTGTGTGGTCGTCCTTCATTCTTCAAATGCCGTGTAGGTTGTGTGGTTCGTCCTTCATTCTTCAAATGCCTTTGTAGTAGGTGTGCTGGTCGTCTTCATTCTTAAAAGTGCTGTGTATGTGTGCTGGTCGTCCTTCATTCTTCCAAATCTGCCTGTGTATTGTGTGATGGTTTCGACCTTACATTCTTCCAAAATGCCTGTGTAGGTGGTGCTGGTCGTCTTCATGCTTCATATGCCGTGTAGGTGTCGCTGGTCGTCCTTCATTCTTTCAACTGCCTGTGTAGGTGTGCTGGTGTCCTTCAATTCTTCAAATGCTGTGTATGGTGTGCTGGTCGTCCTTCATGCTTCAGATGCCTGTGTAGGTGTGTGGTCGTCCTTCTTCTTCAAATGCCTGTGTAGGTGTGCTGGTCGTCCTTCATTCTTCAAATGCCTGTGTAGGTTGGTGCTGGTCGTCCTTCATTCTTCAAATGCCTGTGTAGGTGTGGCTGGTCGTCCTTCATTCTTCAATGCCTGGTAGGTGTGCTGTGTCCTTCATTCTTCAAATGCCTGTGAGTGTGCTGGTCGTCCTTATTCTTCAAATGCCTGTTTATGTGGTGCCGGTCGTCTTCAATGCTTCAGATGCCTGTGTAGGGTTGCTGGTCGTCGTCATTCCTTCAAATGCTGTGTAGGTGTGCTGAGTTCGTCTTCATTCTTCAAATGCCTGTGTAGGTGTGCGGTTCGTCCTTCATTCTTCCAAATGCCTAGTGTATGGTTGCCGGTCGTCCTTCAGCTTCAGATTGCCTGGTATGTGGTGCCGGTCGTACCTTCATGCTTCCAGTGCCTGTGTAGGTGTGGTGGTAGTCCTTCATTTCTTCAAATGCCTGTGTAGGTGTTTGCTGGTCGTCTTCATTCATCAAATGCCTGTGTAGGTGTGCTGGTCGTCCTTCATTCTTCAAATGCCTGTGTATGTGTGCCGGTCGTCCTTCATGCTTCAGATGCCTGTGTAGGTGTGGCTGTGGTCGTCCTTCATTCTTCATGCCTGTGTAGGTGTGCTGGTCGTCCTTCATTTCTTTCAAAAATTGCATGTGTAGGTGTGCTGGTTCGTCCTTCATTCTTCAAATGCCTGTGTATGTGTGCCGGTCTCGTCCTTCATGCTTCAGATGCCTGTGTAGGTGATGGCTGGTCGTCCTTCATTCTTCAAATGCCTGTTGTAGGTGTGTGGGTCGTCCTTCATTCTTCAAAAAATGCCTGTGTATGTGTGCGGTCGTCTCCTTCATGCTTCAGATTTGGCCTGTGTAGGTGTGCTGGTCGTCTTCATTCTTCAAATGACTGTGTATGTGTGCCGGTCGTTCCTTCTGCTTCAGATGCCTGTGTATGTGTGCCGGTCGTCCTTCATGCTTCAGATGCCTGTGTATGTGTGCTGGTCGTCCTTCATGCTTCAGATGCCTGTGTAAGTTTGCTGGTCGTCTTCATGCTCAGGATTCTGTGTAGTGTGCTGGTCGTCCTTCATGCTTCAGATGCCTGTGTATGTGTGCTGGTCGTCCTTCATGCTTCAGATGCCTGTGTAGGTGTGCTGGTCGTCCTTCATGCTTCAGATGCCTGTGTATGTGTGCTGGTCGTCCTTCATGCTTCAGATGCCTGTGTAGGTGTGCTGGTCGTCTTCATGCTTCAGATGCCTGTTGTATGTGTGCGGTCAGTCTCAAGCTTCAGATGCCTGTGTATGTGTGTGGGTCGTAATGCATGCTTCAGCTGCCTTTGTATGTGTTGCTGGTCGTCCTTCATGCTCAGATGCCTGTGTAGGTGTGCTGGTCGTCCTTCATGCTTCAGATGCCTGTGTATGTGTGCTGGTCGTCATCATGCTTCAGGATGCCTGTGTATGTGTGCCGGTCGTCCTTCATGCTTCAGATGCCTGTGTATGTGTGCTGGTCGTCCTTCATGCTTCAGATGCCTGTGTAGGTGTGCTGGTCGTCATTCATGCTTCAGAATTTTAAAAAGACTTCGCTATTATTTTAGGAAAATTTGTTTTCCGATTCAAATAAACAGTTTATTAATGCAAATATTTTTATTCTTATTACACAAAGTATGAATGCATAAAATAACACTGGTGGTTAATACAGTAATGTATAAAATACACTGGTGGTTAATACAATAATGTATAAAATAACACTGGTGGTTAATACAATAATAAAACTGGTGGTTAATACAATAATACAATAATGCAATAATACATTCTGCTTGCTGTAATTTTGTCAACTTAAATTATTCACTTATAGTTAAGTATAACTGTAATATAGCACTATAATATCTCGGGTAATATATCCAGCTACTATTACCATAAATACAATTATAGATGAGCAGAAATTTCTAAGGATAATATCATTTGGTGAGGTACATAATAAACCTTGTATTGAACTTACTAGAACCCCAGGGTTCTAAGGCTATACATGTAGATAAACTCTTATTGGCTGCCATTTTTGCAGCTTCAATTGTTTGTTCATGGACTTGGTTAGACTGTTATCTTCTGTTCCTCCTCCTCTGTTTGGACTGTCTTTTTTGCCTCCCCTTTGTATTATTTCTTTTTGGCATCTGAGGATGTTTTTTACTTTTTAATAAAGTTCCTTCATGTTCATCTTACGTTATGCTGGAATCGACGAACTGGTGTACACAGTTTGATGTACTTGGCTGGTGGTTTGTAGAGAGAACGTTTCAGGAGAGGCGCCTATTTCCTGTGATCCATGGAGGTGCTGCTCGATGGTAGTGTTTAGCCCACTGGACATTTTGATGGAGAGTTAATGTCATCCTGAATAGAGCTGCTGCTACTATTGGAAGCTGCTGCTGCTACTGTTGGAAGCTACTGCTGCTACTGCTGGAAGCTGCTGCTGCTACTGCTGTGAAGCTGCTGCTGCTACTGCTGGAAGCTGCTGCTGCTACTGCTGGAAGCTGACCTGCTCTGCTGCCACTGCTGGAAGCTGCTGCTGCTACTGCGGGAAGCTACTTGCGCTACTACTGGAAAGCTTGCTGCTGCATACTATGGAAGCTGCTGCTGCTACTGCTGGAAGCTACTGCTGCTACTGCTGGAAGCTACTGCTGCTACTGCTGGAAGCTGCTGCTGCTACTGCTGGAAGCTACTGCTGCTACTGCTGGAAGCTACTGCTGCTACTGCTGGAAGCTGCTGCTGCTACTACTGGAAGCTGCTGCTGCTACTGCTGGAAGCTACTGCTGCTACTGCTGGAAGCTGCTGCTGCTACTGCTGTAAGCTGCTGCTGCTACTACTGGAGCTGCTGCTGCTACTACTGGAAGCGGCTGCTGCTACTGCTGGAAGCTGCTGCTGCCACTTCATCCTCAATAGAATTAACTAGAATGATCAAGTTGAGGACGTCCCGAAGTGTGAGAGTTACTTCATTAGGATTACTCTCCATTATAGTCTGTGACTCAGCTGTTTCGTCTAAATTACCAGCTTCTACATTCAAGATACCAGACAAGGTTTTCGAGAACTCATGCTCTTTTGGAGACTGGGCGATGAAGTTCCTAATAGACGGGACAGTCTCCGATCTGAGAATTACGTTGACGTGCAAGAGCTGGGATAAAGTGAAGGGGGGCATTAACTTATTCTGGGAATCATTCGTCCCTGCCAAAAAAAAAAAAAAGATAAATAACATACTGTCAAGATATTATTAGCGGCAATTTTATGTCCGTTGTATTTTTTTTAAATTTTCAGCATAATAATATTCCTAACATTAAAATATGGTAGTTTATGTATATTCTATTTCCACGAGGCTGTGTCCCGCAATTTGCACTATAGGTTGACCTCATCTATGTATATGTCGTGTCAAATAGGTGAAACTTACGATTTTGGCCTAAATAGCAATGCTCTTCTTGCCGAATAAGGCAAACGAGAAATTTGTGTATGCAATAATTTCTCAAAAATCATTCTGAACATAGGGAAAAATATATTGCATTGTGTTTGTTTATTATTAAATTACTGTAAAATTATCTAAAATATATTTAGTTGGATGAAGCTAAATTAAACTGAACTTGTTATAATAAGGTTAGGTAAGTTTTCTAAGATTCTTATGGTACAGATTTATTAATTTTTACAATAACATGTATTTCAACGCATAAGAGAAATTTTTTGAAAAGACTTAATTTTTAATGAGTTCTTGGTAATTGACCAGTTTTACCCATTCGGCAGATACATGTACTAGACATGTATCTCTCACACCTCATGTACTGTATATGCCATATATATAACTAGGGATCCCAGGGCAGCTAGTTTTCTGTTCCAGCCGCTCAGTGCAGCTGTTCAAAGGGGTAATGCCTGCTGTATTTTGGGCACATGCCCCAGCTCTGAGGAGCTGGATGAGATTTTCGCCTTATAATCGGTGATACACACGTAACAACATGTACCGTATATGCCACCTTTATATCAACTATGTATCTCTTAAATCTCCTATATATAATATATATATATATATATATATATATTATATTATATATATATATATATATATATATATATATTATATATATATATATATATATATATTATAATATATATATGTGTGTGTGTGTGTGTGTGTTGTGAGTGTGTGTGTGTGTGTGTGTGTATGTGTACTCACCTAGTTGTTACTCACCTAGTTGAGTTTGCAGGGGTCGAAGTCCTAGCCTCCTGGCTACGCCTCTTCACTGGGTCGACTACTAGGTCGTCTCCCTGTTACCGTGAGCTTTATCGTACCTCTGCTGTGTGTGTGTGTGTGTGTGTGTGTTGTGTTGTAATGTGTGTGTGTGTAATAAGATCAAAAACGTAACAGCTGATATCACAATATGAAAAGTAACCACTGTAACAAAAATAATGAAATTCCAAGCACTTTCATGATTTCTTACTAGTAGGCGAGGAGACGAAAAGTAGAGGTAGGAACGTGGTAAGGAGGTGGGTTTTGGTTTTTCAGAGGGTAAAACCTCAAAAGAATTAGAAAAGGGGGTGACCCTGGAAGGCACGGCTCCGGAAGAGCTGGTAGACGGGGGCCACTGCCAAGGTTGGAGGTTCTCCTAGCTTATCAAGTATAGGACATGGAGGATGATTCACTGAAGGTGGAGCCGTGAGACAGCCATAGCAAGATTAAGGACTTCGCTATTCTAAAGACAATGGATTTCACGTTCATTAAGATTATTACAACCCAGGAGTCCAAATGGCCTGTTATCCTGGGTGTAAAGGGAGCAAAATAAACACAGCAGAAAATTTTTGACTTACATTATCCTTCACCAATTTAGAACAGCAGTATGTGCACTATATACACTATGTGCACTCCACGGTAAGCAAGGCAGAGTAGAAGCCACTAGAGAGCAGACCGTGCTTCAACCAGCTCTAGAATGGGAATGACAAGGGCAGACAGGAGAGTGGTACCCAGATAACCTCTGCGATTGCCAAAACCATCTTCTTATTGGCTGGAACCTAGGTACAAAAGACTTGGCAGACGATGCAACATCCTGCCAATGAAAAGCAGGGGTGTCACTAGCACGTTAAGAGACCATACAATAAGTGTCAGGGGCCCGAGACTGTTCAACTGCCTCCCAGCATACATAAGGGGGATTACCAACAGACCCCTGGCAGTCTTCAAGATGGCACTGGACACAGCACTAAAGTTCGGTTTTCCTGACAGCGGGCTGAGGCTCGTACGTTTTGGGTTTGCCGTGCAGCCAGCAGCAACAGCCTGGTTGATCAGGCTCTTATCCACCAGGAGGCCTGGTCACAGACCGGGCCCGCGGGGGCGTTGACCCCCGGAACTCTTCCAGGGTCAAAACTCCAGGTACAGTTTGAACGAGGGGTCCATCGTCAACTCTCAGTCACCTGGTTCGCTGGTTGGGGGAGATAGCCTGTGAATGAGGGTGTGTACTTGCGCCGAATAAAGGTTACGTACTCTTTGCATGCCACAAAGATAGATCTGACGACAGAGGGAAAAAGAAAGGTGAGTTTCGTTGCAATTAAAACAAGTGGGGGGAAGACTGCTAATTGCTATAAAATATCATTACACAAGAAGAAAATCCTTATACAATGGGTTTTTTTTTAAAACGGGGTAAGACAACTGTACCAGTGCAATAACTGAAGTAGCGTGCTTTTGAAATGCGATAGTAACATTATCATTGGAAGATGGGAAAGACCATGAGCTTGGAGCTTTTGAACAGTAACGATGCATGCACCGCTCTGAGAGTTGTCGTTATGAAAGGATATATTTTGGCCAAAGTGTTGTTTAAAGAACTTTTCCAGTACTGTGCTCTGAAAGATAATCAGTGAAATGTCGGCTGCAGGGAAAAGAACTTGGTCCTCTGTGTACTTGTAAATAGGTGTGTAAGGAGTGGGTGTCATGTATGGGTTTTTCTGAAGTGGAATGAGCAGAAATCGAAGGGCCGTTTTCAGTAAATGGTCTGGAACGTTCAGGCGGAGGACCGCGGGCGGCCCGACCTAAGGCAGGTGGGTGATCCGATAAACGCAAGTCACACTATTATTTGGGGAAGCCGAAGCAAGAGGCAGAGGCACTAAAAAAACGGACAGAGCCTTGGCACCTGGAGCAGGTGATGAAGCGTCACCAGTAGAATGTAAAGGAGTATCGGAGAAGTCTGGTAAGTAGTCCAGTAACAAAGCTGGGTCAGAACAGGATGCAATAACATAAAGGGCCTGGGTGGAGGAGAGGTCCTCATGGAACCAAGACTCCATGATGGTGGTACTTCTTTCTTATAATTAAGGAAAAAAAAGAAAGAAGGAAAGAAAGGAAAAGGAAGGGTAACAGCGGAGGGACAGTTACTAGAAGGCATGAAAGGGCCATAAGTTCCCCCCTCTCATCCGAGAGGACCTCGATACCACCAGCAGTGCAGAAGCAACATGGAACCCCTGCCAATACCCTACCCTTCACGCAAGTAATGCAGTGTTCCATGACAGCAACCTAATATCCACGAGCACCAGGGACTCATGTAGTGTTGTTTCTGTTCCACGTGTAACTCGTTCACTCATCCAGTGTTGTTTCTGTACCGCATGTGACTAGTTCTCTCGTCCAGTGTTGCTTCTCTACCGCATGTGAATCGTTCAATCATCCAGTGTTGCTCCTGCACAGAATATGACTCGTTCTCTAATCCATTGTTGCTTCTCTACAGCATGTGACTCGATCACTCATCCAGTGTTGCTTCTGTACCGGATGTGACTCTTTCGCTCATCCAGTGTTGCTTCTGTACCGAATGTGACTCGTTCGCTCATCCAGTGTTGCTTCTCGCCCGCCTGTGAATCGTTCGCTAATCCAGTGTTGCTTCTGTAAAATATGTGACTTGCTCGCTCATCCAGAGTTGCTTCTGTACCGCATGTGACTCGTTCAGTCATCCTGTGTTGCTTCTGTTACACATATGACTCTTTCACTCATCGAGTGTTTCTTCTGTACCTCATTTGACTCGTTCACTTATCCAGAGTTGCTTCTGCACAGAATGTGACTCTTCACTCATCCAGCGTTGCTTCTGTAATGCATGTGACTCGTTCACTAATCCAGTGTTGCTTCTGTACCACATATGACTAGTTCGCTCATCCAGTGTTGCTTTTGTACCGCATGTGAATCGTTCAATCATCCACTATTGTTTCTGCACTGCGTGTGACTCCTTATCTCATCCAGTGTTGCTTCTGTACCGCATGTGACTCATTCACTCATCCAGTGTTGCTTCTCTACGGCATGTGTCTCGTTCACTCATCCATTGTTGCTTCTGTACCGCATGTGACTCGTTCACTCATCCAGTGTTGCTTCTGTACCGCGTTTGACTCATACACTCATCCATTGTTGCTTCTGTACGGCATGTGACTCGTTCACTCATCCAGTGTTGCTTCTGTACCGCATGTGACTCGTTCACTCATCCAGTGTTGCTTCTGTACAGCAAGTGACACGTTCACTCATCCAGTGTTGCTTCTGTACCGCGTTTGACTCATACACTCATCCATTGTTGCTTCTGTACCGCATGCGACTCTTTCACTCATCCAGTGCTGCTTCTGTACAGCGTGTCACTCGTTCACTCATCCAGTGTTGCTTCCATACTGCATGTGACTCGCTCAATCATCCAGTGTTGCTTCTGTTCTGCATGCGGCTCGTTCACTTATCCACTGTTGCTTCTGTACTGCATATGACTCGTTCACTCATCATGTGTTGCTTCTGTACCGCATTTCACTTGTTCACTCATCTAGTGTTGCTTCTGTTCTGCATATGAATCGTTGACTCGTCCAGTGTTGCTTCTGTTCCGCATGTGACTCGTTCACTCATCCAGTGTTGCTTCTATACCACATGTGACTCGTTCAACAATCCAGTGTTGCTTCTGTACCGCGTGTGACTCGTTCACTAATCCAGTGTTGCTTCTGTACCGCATGTGACTCGTTCGCTCATCCAGTGTTGCGTCTATACCGCATATGACTCGCTCCCTTATCCAGTGTTGCTTCCGTAATGCATATGACTCGTTCACTCATCCTGTGTTGCTTTTGTACCGCATGTGAATCGTTCACTCATCCAGTGTTGCTTCAATACCGCATGTGACTCGTTTGCTCAATCAATGTTGCTTC